AAAAAAAAAAAAAAAGCTGTCCGTAACCTCAAGACCTAGAGCCTGCCTAGCTCTTGCCGGTTTTCCAAAGGACTCTACATTTGGAGTCCCACTAACTGCATTCATCAGCTTCCTCAGGCCACATACTGGTCTACAGTTCTAGGTCTCAAAGAGGCATTAAAATCACCTGATTTTAAAACAGTCTGGCTAAAACAGATAGCTGGCCCTTACCCAGAATGTCTGATTCATTTGGTTTGAGGTGGGGCCTAATAATTTGCATTTCTAACAAGTTCTGAAGTCCTGCTAATGCTGCTGGCCCAGAGAACATGCTTTGAGAACTGCAAGTCCAGCTTTACCCATGCTGCCTGCTGTCATGATCTACTTACTTGCCAAATCCTATCAGCTGAGACTGGAAGGGTAAGAAAGAGGCAGCCAATCGAGAGCCCTGAGATGGGCATTCCTCCAGAGAGGACTATACTCGCAGAAGTCCCCAACAAGGCCAGCAAGGCCAGTGCCAGTATCAGAGAAAAGGTGGGGAAGCCAAAGCACAGTCAGTGCCAGCAATGCCAAAGAGAACAAGTTGTAACAAGACACGCCCAAACTCAAAGTGTTCCATAATTATCAGTTTTGGAATTTGAATCTCCAGACTTCCGTGTATGTATACAAAAAAAAGTACCTTCAATTTTCTTTGACTAATATTCAAATTAGCATGCATTCTGGGAACACTGAGTTGGGAAGAGGGCCAGAAATGAGGCACAGAGTGGAGAAAAACACTTAAATTTGGAGTAGTTCAGCTATATGAGCAAACAAATGCTAGTTTGATATAAAAACTGCAAAATAAAAACTAAAATTAAGCAGCAAACTCATAGTGAGAATGAAGGACATCCAAGCTTACTGGGTCTAACTTACCTGGGCAAATGTAATGGCTTGTTGTGGATAATAGATAGAGGCAGCTAATCCCATGAAACCAGGTGGGTACACCAGCTTCTTTACTTTTGAACCTAATAAAAAAAAGGTGGTAGAACCATCAGATGATTCGTTTCTCTCTCTCT